GATCCAGTTGAAGTTCATGGGACTGATCACATGCCTAAAGTGAAGCCTGTGCTTAAGTGCTTTGCTGAATTGGAGCCTTGATGCAATGCCCTGCCCTTCTTTGTTGCTTGTCCATGCTGCGATTAAGCAGTGACAGACCAGCACCCAACTGGACAAGGCACATGCTGCGGATGAAGCATAGCTCTGTTGGTTTCTCTGCGCTCCTCATACTCCCATACAGAAGGTGTTTCCTCTCCTCCCCCCTAGAGAGAGATGACTGCCAGCAAATCAACAACCCCATATTCTCAAAAGGAGTTTGAGACCTTGGCTTCACTAGAACGTCTGCAAGAGCAGCTCCTGTGAGTACTGGATCACCTGATTGAGAGGACGGGTCATCCTCCTCTTTATAACAACTTTAAAGGTACTTTAAGACTGTTATGTCCCCCTTTAGTCTTTTCTTCTTCAAACTAAACAACCCCAATTTTGTCAAGCTCTCCTCGTAAGTTATCTTTTCTAGACCTTTAATCATTTTTGTTGCTCTCCTCTGGACTTTCTCCAGTTTATCCACATCTTTCCTAAAGTGTGGTGCTCAGAATTAGACCCAATACTCTAGCTGAGGCCTTATCAGTGCTAAGTAGAGTGGAAGAATTACTTCTTGTGTCTTGCTTACTACGATCCTGCTAATACAATTCAGAGTGATTGCCTTTTTTTTTGCAACAGTATTACATTGTTGACTCATAGTCAGTTTGTGATCCACTATAACCCCCATATCCTTTTCTGCAATACTCCTTCCTAGAAAGTCATTTCCTATTTTGTATTTGTGCAATGGATTATTTGTTCCTAAGTGTAGTACTTTGCATTTGTCCTTATTGAATTTCATCTGACCTTTTGTTAGGAGAAATTGAGTTTTAAAATTAATTTAAAATGTAATTGATGCTCATGGACCATACAGCTGGGGCCAAGGAGTCACTATTTGGTTTAGATCTTTTTAATAATGCCACACATTTACATTAGTGAGTTGTTTTTTATAGATCCAATCAGATATACTGAAAATCTCAGTTTTCTTAGCCTGTCTGTTGAATATCTTGCCAACAGTCTCTTAGGCTCCAGGTTTCAGTGCCTTCCTGGCTTCTGTATTTCAGAGAAGCTGAGATCCGTGCTCAGGATGCAGAGGAGAGATCAGAAAGTCTGGATGAGCATCTGGAAGAAGCTCTGGGGAGAATCCAGGATCTAGAGAAACAGCTGGAAAAAGCACTCAAAGCCCAGGAAGTAGCACCAAAACCAGGTGAGCTAATCAGAATTCTGAGATGTCTCATGGACTCAGATAGAAAACAACTGCTAGGTCCCTTAGTCCATTTCAGGGCCAGTGCAGGATCATTCCCTCTTGGACATTTACTAGTGTGTTGTCTAGACTAATTTAAAATGTGCCAAGAGATGAGGTATCCACCACCTCCCTTGGGAGATTATTCTATAGCAGAAACAGTAGAACCACTGCATTCTGAGCGTTTTTGAAAGAAAGTTGGTAAGAATGCTTAATGCATCAGATTCTCTGTTTCTAGGGGCTTGTCTACACTAGAAAATTAGGTCGACTTAATTTAGGTTGACCTACAGCCACTGCAGTAATTCAATCAGCTGTTGGTGTCCACACTACCCTCCTTCTGCCGGTGAAGAGCATCCTCACCAGGAGCGCTTGCACCAACGGAAGTGGGGCATTGTGGGGGCACTGACAGTGGAATGTGAGGCACTGACAGCCACGTGGGGCTCACAGCTGGAGTCCCCATCCACCCCGATTTTCCAGTCCCAACTGTGAGCCCCGCGCAGGCTCAGTTTCACAGCACAGAGCCTACCAGCCATGAAATTGACATGCTGCTGTTTTCTCCGCTCAGAGCAGCCCCACTCTAACAGCTCTGGGCAATGTGGGGAGCTGGGAGCCAGGGCTTTCAGTGCCAGGCAGCCGGACTTGGAGCGGGGAGCCTGAGCAGCAGCCCGCTGGGAGCTGGAAGCCTCGGGGGGTGGGGGGTGGACAGCAGGCCTCCCAACCAGGTTCTAGCTGGAGTCCCCACCCATCCTGGAGTGACAGCCCGAGCTGTGAGCCAGGTGCATGGTTCACAAGAGGGAACCTACTAGTCTTTCTTGTCAATTTCACGGCTCTAGCACTGAGCCGTGAAATTGACAAGAATTTTAGCCAACAGCCCATGTAAGTAACAGTGTTTACAGGGACACTGCATCGCCCTAACTACACGGACATAAGTCCTACGCCTCTCATGGAGGTGGAGGTATTATGTCGGTGTAGTAAGGCCCTCAGGGTACATCTACACTACAGGGGGGAGTCGATTTAAGATACGCAAATTCAGCTACGTGAATAGCATAGCTGAATTCGACGTATCGCAGCCGATTTACCCCGCTGTGAGGACGGCGGCAAAATCGACTTCTGCAGCTTTCTGTCGACGGCGCTTACTCCCACCTCCGCTGGTGGAGTAAGAGCGTCGATTCGGGGATCGATTGTCGCGTCCCGACGGGACGCGATAAATCGATCCCCGAGAGGTCGATTTCTACCCGCCGATTCAGGCGGGTAGTGTAGACCTAGCCTCACATTGGCAGGAGCAAGGCTGTAGTGTAGACACTGACATAGTTAGGTCGACATAAGCTGTCTTATGTGGACCTAACGCTGTAGTGTAGACCAAGCCTAGCATTTTTAAAAGTTTGTTTCCGGTGCATTGTACAGACATGAATGTGGAGACTGGCTACATCTTACTCATGCTCTTCGTTGCTATCTTTAAGAGCTGTCCAGGACCATCTCTCCTGGGTGACGGAGAATTCACTCTCTATCTCCACTCACTTCTGGGCTCCCTCACAGTGTGATGTCAAAAAAGCACAACCCTAACTTTGAGGAACATAGGAACTAAGGATCTGCCATATTAGTGGGAGCAATGGTCTGTCCAGCCCAGTATCCTTTCACTGACAGTGGCCACAGACCCAACTGCTTTAGAGAAAAGCACAAGAAACCCTGCAGCCATGGGGTACCTGCCCCCAGGAATATTCCCTCCTCACCCCCATTCAGTACAGGGTGACATATCTTGAATCTTGCTCATTTTTAATATTTACTAAGATACTTATCTAGCCCCTATCATGCAATATCTGAGTGTGTTTACCCTCACAAGACAGGGCAGGGCAGGGTTGTTATCCTTGTTGTCTCCCAAGGGCCAGGCTAATGCCCTAATCACAGGACTATTCTTCCTCTCCGTAACTCTAGATATTCTTGTTATCTGTGTAAGTGTAATCCTTTTTTGAACCCTGCCAAACTCTTGGCCTCACTGGCATCCTGTGGCAGTGAGTTCCACAGGCAAAATGTGCATTATGCGGGAAAGCACTTCTTTCATCAGTTTAGAATTGGATCCACCCTGATTTAGGGGAAGTGGGGACTATAGTCCTGGGCTTTCCCAACACTGCCCCTCTAGTGGATCCCTCCCAGCTGTGATTTGAAAGGAGAGGGTGATTTATACTTGATTCTACAGGATGTATTTACCCCAGGAGGAGTTTTGCTATATTTATTTTTAACGTCTGTGTATTTTTTATTTCAGAAGTCCCTTCCCAAGAAGAATCCAAGCCAACTTCTCATAAACCATCTGCCGCTGCCCGGTCCAGGAAAACCAGCAGACCCAAACATTAAAGAGTAGCAATGCCCAGCGAAAGTCGTTTGGTTCCCATTTGTAGTAGACTTTCAGCATAACACTGCCCATCTCTGGGGCTCCAGATACACTTTAATTCCAAGTTCTTTAGTATAGCAAAATGACTGGAACACCCTCTAATGCACCCTCCCAAGGAGAGCTTTAGACAAAGCACTGGAGAGGATCTTTTCTTGGTTTATAAATTATCTGAAAACCTCACGCTGGGTAATGCAGTGTTTTAGTGTAGTTGCCAGTCATAAGTGGAGACTGGACTAGAACAGAACTTGTAGAAAAGGCTTTCAGGCCTTCTCAATGTATCTGTTAGTAGAGTCTTTTAAGAGATCAGGTCATAAACTTATCACAGGCTAGCTGTACTGCCTCAGTTGGAACTTTGGGATAAATTGTCCAGATCTCAGATCCATTCATAAGTGCTCAGCTTGTAAACATAAATCTTGGGATGGTTTCTTCCAGGTATGGAGACAGAGGGAGGCTCCTGGGCCAGGTCTTTCTCAGAGTGGGACACAGGATACTTTCTAAGTACTTAGAGGGGAGGTTTCCAACTAATTTATACAGGCGCAGTGTATAGAAAAAGAAAAAAAGTTCTGTTCAGTGTTGCTTGAGAAATAATTAAGGCAGCAGACTCAGAATACCTCTTCTGAGAGCCATCATTTCCATGGTTATTATCCTTTTACAAGATGTCCATGGCTTTTGATACTTTGGGACTTCTGTTAACATGGGTGGTGAATAGGAAAGTGCAACTCGGTTGGACTCACCCCTGCGGCGCCTCCTGCTGGTCATCCATGGGAATTAGCTCTTCCAGCATCCGGATCGCCCTCTGCAGGCCAGTGATCCACCTTACCACTGGCCCCCCCGTGTCCCTCCCAGAACCCTGGTGCCCCTTTCTCTGGGTGCTGCCCCCTAGCTGTACCCCCACAGTTCTGGGTCTCCCCCTCCCAGGGGAACCCCCACCCACTACCCCCACTTCATCTCAGATTGGCTACTGCCCAGTCTCTATCTAGCCCCATTCACTGGGGCAGACTGCAGTGTCAGCCACTCATCACAGGCAAAGGGGTTCGGACCTGCTGCCTCTGCCTACCCATGGGCTGCCCCATGCAACCAGTACCTAGTAGGCCTTACCAGGCCTGCAGCCTGGGGCTTTCCTAGGCCAGAGCGCCCCAGCTCCCTTGGCTTTTCCCCAGCCCTGCTCCACTCTAGGCACTTAGTTAAGCTCCCTGCCACCAGACCCTTCTCTCTCTAAATGCAGAGAGACTGTCTGCTTGAGCTCCTGACTCACGCCTTTATAGGGCCAGCTGGGCCCTGATTGGGGCATGGCCCCAGCTGAGCCTGCTTCCTCCCAATCAGCCCAGCTTTTCCCCTGCTACAGCCCTCTCCCAGGGCTGTTTTAAGCCTTTCCAGGCAGGAGCGGGTGACCACCCCGCGATAGAGAGGAATAGCTCTGTCAGTTTGATTGAGACTCTTAAGGAAACAACCCACAGGACTGTCCAGAAGGGTTATAGAGACAACACTGCCAGGACACAAAGGTGGAGCCCTGCTGACTAATGGGGAGAGTCCTAAGCTGCGCACTAAACCTCCATGGCAATGCAGAATCACCAGACAAGAAAAAGAGCTGCTGGCAGGGCAGCTCCTAACATTGTAAGGCAATGACTGTGGAAAACAAAGATGAAGCAGCTTGCACCTACAAAAAGGACTTTGAGGGGTGGGGTGTGACAGGGAGTAGTAAAATCCCCAACAGTCACAAAGTGTCCCCAGAGCATCCAAACGATAACGGGAGGCTGGGCCTGCAAAGAAAGTTTGATTACTACAGCAAATACAGTGACCTACCCAGGACTTTGCCTTGATTGGTTTTATTGCCTGTTATTGCCAAGGCTTCTCCAGGACTTTGCCCCATTTTACCATTTATGTATACACACAGCCCTACTCTCTGCTTTTCCAGTGCTTTGTATATGTAGAAATGTTAAAGATGCACCTCTGTTGCTCCAATGAAATGACCAAATGTCTTAATGACTTATTAGCCAGTACAGACTATTGCAACTTGACTCTCAAGTTTATTGGGCCTGAGGATCTCATTTCAAGTCCCTGTGTTTGGCCTTATCATTAGCGTTTGCATCATTGCATAATGACTTAAGAACGGTCTGTTGCAGGTGCAATAGCAATTAATAGGAAGAGATGTCTAATAACTAGGCTTGATCAAGTTATTAATCAAAGATTAATACAGCGTCATACAGAAAGGAAGAGTACATATGTTACCAACCCCTTTGGAAGACAGCAGTGGCAGCTGTCATGCTGTCTCAAAATTCTGTGCTTCCCCCTTCTGTATTTCTACCTAACTGGGAAGAGTTCCATCAGTTTCCCTAGATCACTTTACCTAATACACCCTTGTGCCTGTTTTCTTTTACATGTTTTTCACTGATGGTGAGGCTCAATAAATTTTTACCCCAGGATGTGGGTAGTATGTTGTAAGTTTCAAGATGTCATATGGTTTATATTTTGACAGTTATACAGACCCTGCACATTACACAAAAACACAGATGCATGTATGCAATATTTTAGGCATAGTGTTTTAAAAATTAGCAAAGTTTAAAGGTTTTGCGTTCTCCAGTGCAGATACATAGCAGAAGACAGGAGTTCTTAGAAAGGTCACAGCATCTACATAGCATACAGTTTATAGAATTTAACATGAATATAAAGGATTTCCAATATAACATACTTATTCACTGACTATTTTTTTATTTTGGTTACATAACACCCCTTTTCCATTCATACTTATAGTTGCTATAATAACCAATTCCTGTATTTTAATCAATACCTTTTACGTATAAGAACTGATTTCCCAATACATTCTATCCTGACAAACTGGTAGTTGATAAGAAAGCAATTTACATTCCTGGTTAATAGTTGTTGTGTTGTTTTTTTTTTTAATATGGAGACATACTTATCTCATAGAACTGGAAGGGACCCTGAAAGGTCATCGAGTCCAGCACCCTGCCTTCACTGGCAGGACCAAGTACGGATTTTGCCCCAGATCCCTAAGTGGCCCCCTCAAGGATTGAACTCATAACCCTGGGTTTAGCAGGCCAATGCTCAAACCACTAAGCTATCCCTCCCCTCTTCTCAGTGCTGTGCCGCCACCACTCCATCATTCCTTTCTCCCGATGCCTCTGCTCACACTCCTCCTGACTCTCCTTCCTGTGCCTTCAGTGCTCTCCCCGGGCACATCTACTGCTCTTTCCAGCACTCCTGCCTGTGCTGCTGCTGTTCTTCCCATCTTCCCTCTGCCTCTCCTTCTCCAAGTGCTCCACCACTCCTTCCCGTGCTTGTTCCTGTGCCTTCGCTCCTTTCTGTGCTCCTGCCTGCACCTTCGGTGCTCCCCCTGCCTGCAGGGTATGTGTGCTTGGTTAGGGCTGATGTACAATGTGTTTGCTGACCTATTAACTTGATGGTGTCTGACTGATGTTGGTTGTGTTGTTTCCATGGTGATCCTCAGAGTCCCTCCTCTCAGGTATTTAAAGAACAGCCCTAAAAACATGCCAGGTGTGTAACTCACTCCAAAGGTAGGTGAGAGGGGCAGTATCAGAGCTGTGGGGAGTCCCAGCCCTGGGGGACAGATGGTCAGGAATACAGTGCAGTACTAGGGCTGTACAGGATTTGCTAGCACATGCTGCATACTTTTGCTATGGGGAAAGGTCCCTCGAATTGAATAGGGAGCTGAGCTACAGATATTTAAAGAGCCTTGATGCTTAGTTCTGCTGGGTTTTTTGGAGCACTCTACCTGTTCTGTGGACCATCTGACAGAACTGAATAGAGAATCATCACCAGAGAATCATTGCATAGGATGTATAAGGCAGTTGAAGAAAGCTATATAAATGTTGCTATTATCTATAAAACTCATGACAGTTATTAGCTCCCTCCTTTCACTGTCTCAGGGGAAGTACATCAGGATTTGTAGTTTATCTCTTTAGTTTGCCTTTAGTCCCCTAATAAGATCCCATCTCTCTTACCAGGTTCATGTCTCAGGAAAACTTTTCCTGTGTCCTGTCCTAGGTCGCCATCTAGTAGCAACAATCAGCAATACAGCTTGCTTACCCCACAGATGGCTGGGGTGTCCATTTCAGGAGAAGGCTTCCAGGCCATAAAGGGGCTTGTCTTTCACCTCCTTCACCCAACCAAAATCATCCATGGAGGAGACTGGTCTGGATGGGGGGTGCTATGCCTTCACACTGGGCTGCCTCCATCCCACGAAGCCCGGGGCCCCGCTCACTCCTCTAGGGCGGAAGGGCAGCAGCTCCCCTGGGGACAGTTGCTGCTAGAGCCAGTGTGGCTGATATGTGTCAGCCTGGCTGCAGGCTGCATCCCTTCCCCAACCCACAGCCAGATGAGCACCAGCTTGTCCTCCAGCCCCTCCCACTCAAACCTTGGGTAGCACCAGGCCACTGGGCTGCTGCCAGAGCTCATTAACAATTGACACTAACACAGAGAAAGCAGCTGGAACAACAAGGACCCCACCTTGCTTTCTGCTGGAACAACAAGGACCCCATTTGCTCTCCCTGGCTCAGCTACATCACATATTTGGCTACCTCAGCCAGAACCCAACAGCTGGCGAGTGACAGATTTCAGGGGGACACTATTCCCCAGGGGCTGCCCACTTACTGCTCCAACCCTAGTTTGCACTTTGCAGTCAATGCTTCGGCTGCACAGGTGGAGAATGCAGGAGCTATCGGTATTAGCCTTCATGAACACCCTATGTGCCTCAGTTTACCTGCTTGGCATTAGCCTGCTCATCTGTCTGGGGTATGGCCAGAGGAGGCTATTGGGGTAAACAAGCAGGAAATGAAGCAATAGTTGGGGTAAACAGCTTCAAGGAGGTTAAGAGGCTATTATGTGGGAAGCTGCTGTTCTCCAGGTGTCAGGCAGAGAGGGTGACGGGGCTGAAAGCCTAGAGCTGTAAAAGACCAGGAACAGCTATAAAGCTCCTCCCCTGGTTTGGGGAGGTGGGTCATCATCAGTTGCCTGTGTGGAGGACACTACCAGAGACACACTGATTGAGGGAGCACCTGCAGCAGGCAGGCTATGCCAGCTGGAGATGAAGGTAAGTGGGTTAGAGGACTTGCCAAAGGCTGCAAGGGAAGATGAAGGTGTAAGTGAGAGGGAAGGTGTGGCTTGGACTGACCTTTGGGTGAATTATTAATATGGAAGTCTGAAGCCCTTGTTTTCAGTCACTTTATTCAGCTGATGCCCCAGGCTTCTGGAGGCAAAGGGTTTACAGGGGCCCAGCCCAGCTGGGCCAGCTACATTAATATGATTGGGAGGCAGGGGGCTGCAGCCCAGAAACCCAGTCAAGGGATCAGACCAAGACCATGGGGGTTCTACCCAGGGAGGGGTGAAGGTAGCGAAACCTGTCTCCAGAGGAGTTCACTCTTGAGGGACTGAAAGAGGTCTCATGTACCTGGGCCAGCGCTTCTTACCAGCTTCCCTTCTTTGAGGAGATGCCCACTTCGCAATGAGTGACACAGCAGGAAGATCTCAAGCTCTGCCCAAGCGTATGGAGCTCTGGACAATCCACAGCCTCTGACTGATATGTTACAGTGGGGCGCCCCTTTGGGCCTCCTTGCTTCTCCTGGGCAACGGGCTTTTGCAATGCAAATGATTCCAGCCAGATCATGTTGGGAAGGGAGAGGTTGATAT